CAGCCATCATGATCTGGAGTGAATCTTTAGGAACCTTATCCCCTAAGATTTGACCCTCCATCTGAAACTTCGATCAGTCAAAACTCATCCTCTAGAATAATAAGATAATCTAGAAATCCTATGTTCTCATAAAGAGATAACTAGGAATTCAAATTAATTAAAACTTGGCCAAAGGTTTCTAGATAACAAGAAAGTCACGAATATTTTTAATAGCGCAATAGCCTTTTAAAGAACATTTTAATCAAATAATACTTTCTTTAAATAATATTCCACAAAAATACTTTTACTAAAAAAACATGTCGCACTAAAAAAGAGGGCATCCCATAGAGACGGACGTGTGGCCCCTAGTGGGCTCCACATGAAACTCCCTAGTGGGGCCCACACGATCCACTACTATCTTCTCAAACTAACCTAGTGCGACCCATGACCCACAATCAAGAGTAAGGGCTCATGAATGGGCCATCAAAGTTAGCTAATAAACAGTAGAACTACAATCCCAGTATGTGGACTACAGGTTCCCCCTTAAGAACAAGTCAAAATGCATACACATTGCAGGGGGTTCTCTCTATGCAATTGTCATATGCACATGCCATGTACAAGTTTTGTTTAACATTTGGCCCTTGCTCTCATAGGCCCTTCCTCTGCACACAAGATACCACATAGCTCTCTTGGCCTACAAATAACGTCTATGGGCATCTCTCCAACCTCAACAATAGATGACCCACAACAAATCCTCAACGATAATGCCACATGCTTAAGGATAAAGCTTTTGGACATAACCCAGACCATACACCGCCCAACTCGAGGTCAGTCAGCCACAGTATACTCTAACTTAAGTGCACAAATCACTATAGAAGATTTTATATACAAGCTCTGCAGGCCTTTAAAGGCCACATATCTCAACAATTATGAGCACAGAGTTTTGGTTCACTAATAAAAAGATCTTGCAATTTACAAGGCCAATATGGAAAATGACAAAGTTTGCAGACACTGACAATGTTGGCGATGCTCATGAGCTCATGGATGACCTTTATGACGATCTTGCTTTATACCAAAAGGTGCCCAAGTTGGTACTCAATCTATAGGATCAGACCAATCTTCCATTGCATTGCCTGGAATATGTTCTTAGTCCCAAGTATCACTCTTCTTAATGGTTAGCTACACCCATTCCTGAAGTACAAAAAAGGATAAAGCCATACACGATGAAGAAGCATTTGCATGTTATCCTGTCATGTTAGATATCCTATACACATATGAGATTGAGAGGGGGAGAATGTGTAACCTCATTAATGATTTTGTAGGCAACAAGGGAGTTTCATCCCAACCAGCTTTCATTTCTAATAAAGAATCAACGTTTGTTGTATCTTGGTGAAATCTTTATGATGGTTGGGTTTTTGAATTGTATTATGTTGTTAAAATATTATCTTAGAGCGTTAACTAATCATATGTAGAGGGATGTTGGACTACCTACAGCTATTTTCATAATGTAAAGCAAATTTGACTAAATGCTTACTGCTCCAAGTCATTGGTGTATGTTCACTATACTAAAATGTTGAACAAACTGCAGTCAAATTACAAAGAGAAATGCTCACCTTTAGTGTTCATAAAGGCGAAGGCGACTGCCTAGGTGGCCAGGGGCCTGACCACCTAGGCGGCCGAGCAGCTGCCTAGGTTAGCACCCAGATACTTGGGCAACCCAATGGAAGAGAGAGAGAGAAATGAGAAAAAGGGGGAGGGAAGACAAAGAGAGAGTTCTACAAAGGGGAAAGAGAGATGTGAGAGAGAGGACGGGCAGACCCAAGGGAGAGGGAGAGGGAGAGAGGATAGGCAGACCCAAAGAAGAGGGGGGGAGAGAGAGAGAAGGGTGGGTGAGGAATAGATTGAGACACATGGCTCATGCTGGCCATGTGTCCCCCCTCCCTCCATCTCTATCCACCTAACCCCCCCCCCCCCTCCCCTTTCTTCTATTTTGCCACATATCCATTTTCCTAGTTTCTCTCACCTTAGAGGGCTCTTCAAATATAAATGGGGGAAGAGAAAGAAGATGAACTTCAAGAGAGAGAGGAGAGAGGGGGATGGGATGTGCAAAACGTGGCTTAATGGAGGCCACGAGTCTTTACACATGGCGAAAGCACCTCTCGCCCTTTTTTTTTTGTAATAAAAAATTCATTTGCAAGAGATAGACACATGTCTTTCTCCCAAATGTTTGTGTGCACATGTTTTTTATTTGTATTTTTACTCAAGTTTCATTACCCTTTATTGTAATTGTGTTTAGTTTAACCAAGAGATAAAAGTGAGAGAGAGAGATGCCTCAAATTAAAAAAAAAACAGGTCTTTGGTTTTCTTTTCCTTCTTTTTTTTTAGTTTTTTTAAGGGGGTGGATAGCGGGCAGTCAAATCCGCCTAGGCGCCAGCCTAGAGCCCGCCTAGGCTATGCCTAGGCAGATTGTTGGCTAGGCTGACTTTTTCAACACAGCTCACCTTGATGATAACCACCTTGAGGATGATGCAAATGTTATGCTGATGGTGAGGTGCATCCTCTTGCTCCACCATCGACACCTATTACACCCCACCAATCTCTAAATGCCCGTGAACACTGCAAACAACCCCCCCCGAGAGCCAATCAAGCCAGCCTCCAGTGAATCAAAGTTCTTCAACTTCAATTGTTGCACAAAGGCCCTCTGTTGAACGAAAAGTTCATCAACTTCAATTTTTGCACAACAACCTTGTGCTGAACGAAGAGGCAAGACGACACGAAGATAGAATGATAGACTCCGTACTTACCTCATACTTCTTCTCTCTCTCTCTCTCTGGCCTATGACAAAACCTATATGTATATCCCCTTCTAATGGAGATGAGATCATGAAGTTGTAAATTATTTTAAAAAATCCTCTCCATGGCCAACAACAAAAGTTGTATGTATATCACCTTCTATTGCAGATGAGAGTGCAATTCTTATAAAAAGCAATGTATGGTACCTTCTTTTGTAAAGGAAACCCAAAATGTGAAACTAAAATGGAAAAAGTTTATATAAGGTTGCAACCAGCGTTCGCAAAATCAAACCGGAATGGTTAACCGGACATGGGCCCGGTAGCGATTTAACCGGCCTAATCGGTAAACCAGCCGATTCAACCGCTCTAACTGGGCAAGTCCCGTACGATTAAAAAAGTGTTAAAAAAATAAAAAAGATACAAAAAAAAAAATCAATTAAAATATGAAAAGCATATAAAGAATGTGATTAAAACAAAACATACTCAAATGAAGTTGAAAATTACTGAAAAAAATGGATTTTATCGAATCGATTTGTGCCTAGGGGTATTTTGAAAATTTTCTAAAAAAGATGGGAAAATATAAAAGTATCATTGACCAAAAAAAAAATTTATTCTTTACCATAATGTAAAGAATATTAAAATAGTTTTAAAAAAATCGACCTGACCAACTCTTTTTTTTAAAAGAAAATGAAGAAAAATTTAAGTTACATATAATATAGGCCCTTCTTTTTGTCAACTAAGTAGTAAATGGTGTATTGGTTACTGGGTCTGATAATAAAGAACTTGTTTCAAGTTTGATTCCCGTGGGCAGTAAATTTTTTGAATCAAGGACGAAATGAATTCGAATTCTTAAAAGAAAAAAACGGTGGGATTCGAACCATGATTCACATGCAACTTAACCATTGAAGCTAACCAATAAAACATTCCAATATATATGATATAAATTTGAAGTAGTATTGTATGTAAAGTTTAAAATATCTGTTGATCACCAAAACCGCCCAAAACCGAAACCGGCCACTGAACGGTTCCGATCTAACGAGGCGGTTACCGATTAGATCGGCCAGTTTTGGGAACACTCGTTGCAACCTTATATAATAGAAGTAAAGTGCACCTCAAAAACCCAATAAAAAAACATTTTTTCAAGTTGGAAAACTTTAAATTGATCATCTCAACATCAAGATGTATGAATATAAAAAAAAAAAATTAAGTTCAAAAAATAGTGAACATTCTAACGAGTTATATGGACCATCTACTTTCAAGATTTTCAAGCCTGTCAAGATCTGCTCGATCAGCACCATTTTTTTAATTTTAAATTCCATAATTTGGGGATAACGTGTATTTTCAAGCCATCATAAGGTTTACAACACTGAAACTATATCTTCTAGCAAATTTTAGAGGTGCGCCTTATTTGTATAGTATAAGGTGGCCACCTTATAGAAACCTCACCCAACTTAAATTGCTCCGACAATAACTAAAAATTCATAATGATGTTTTCTATTATTGTTTAGTTTAATTTTCTGAAATATTAAATGTTTCCTCACTCCCTCAATCGAAGATCCGAACTTCCTAGAACACGATTCCTATATCACGTGTTCTTTGAATCAATGTCAATCAAGGGCCTTGATTTATTATCAAATGGATCTCGAGTCTAAATAGCAAGAGAATTAAATCCCATTTAATTGGATCTCTGGTTCTGTTAGATAGGGAACTCGATTTTTTCCAAGAGAGAGCTTGCACAATCCAGCCATTGTCACGAGCTCCTTGTGAAGTAAGATCATGGTGCAAAGAAATTGGGATTGAGATCCTCAAAAATAGGATTCGTGCTCCTTGAAAAATCCTTACTCGGGTATGTTGCTTGTGTTCCTGAAGCGCATACATGATGTTGACCCCAAGATACCAGTAACTACACCTAACCTAAGTCTGACCTCCTGCAGACCTCCTATCAGCGACTCCTACTCAATATAGGAAACCTCAATGCATCCAAAACCCTGTACCCTAAATTTTGTAGGAAACCCACACCTTTTTGAAACTCCTAAATCATAACCCAATCAGAAACTCCCAAGCCTATCCCAAAACCTTTCTTTCTAAGTCCACCTCACATGTTAAACTATGAAAAAGCCAAGTACCTAGTTTCATTTTGGCTTTTACAGAACTTCCTACTTTACATAAAATGCTATAACCTATCAAAAAAAATACAATACATAATTCAGGACAAAAATCAAATACTTACACCAAGTTCCTTAGACGCTTCAGTAACTTTGTAGCTATTTCATCCCTTGTAACTTGAGTCACAGAATCAGTTCTGCCAGCAACTTGTGTCGAGAAAGCATTGAGCTACAAACAGATTAATCTAGATACGTTAAACAGAATAAAGCAATAAAAACACAAAGACAAACAATTGAATTACATATAGCAGTGGTCACCAAGCTAAATTACTGAAAGGTACCAGTTCCCTTATCCAATTAATAGCATAGTAGAGAGAAAGGCACACTATCTGCTTCTGTTTTATCATCAGGGATCTCCAAGCAGCTCCCTTGAAGTACTACAACATCCACACGAAGACAAGACGTAACCATCAAGCATAATAAATAAAATTTAAAAATTGAAACAGAAAGAGGGGAAATCACTAAAACACCCAGAAATGCTACAAGATGGAATACTTCAAAATTCAAATTGTATAGAAGATTAAATAAATTAATAAGTGAAACCTCAATGCCTAGGGATGTCTTTCAGATAAAATTGATCTGAACTATGAGTAGACCGTTAAGGGAAGGAGACACACAAAATACAGCTGCTGATGGATAAAATTAATATGTTTTTCACTGGTCTGGATTCATTCTGTTGATGGATCATTCTCAATTAAAAGGGCATGGGATTTTATTAGGCATCAAAGTTCATCACAACCTACTTTTCGTATACTTTGGTCCTCCAAATGCCACCCAAGGGCGAAATAGTTCTCATGGCTGGCCTTGCATAATCGTTTGCCCACTTCATTCTTATTACAGCAGCGAGGCATGCAACTGGACTCTTTATGTCCCTTTTGTAGTAACCATGATGACAATCTTTTTCATCTTTTATTCCAATGTGCCTTTGCGCAAGGTGTATGGAGTTCACTCACTTGGAGATGTGGAAAAAGGTTCGTCCTCGGTACCTCTGTCCCTGATTTACTTAAGTGGTGGTTACTTTTCAAGTTTAAATCACATGGACTTCGTAATATTTGGTCTTCCATCTTTTTTACTGCTATTTGGTTTCTATGGAAAGAGTGCAACATACGAGTTTTTTAGTCAAGACCCACCAAGAGAGAGCTTATTGTGAAAAGGATTACCCTACATGTTCAGGCACTAGCTGAAGTTAAGAAGTGGTCTTTCATTTATCAGAGAAGGCCATCATTGGTAACCTTCGGATAACTTGGCAGCAGCAGAGGGCTGAGTCCTTTACTTTGATAGCGTGGTCTGTTCAAGAGACTCATAATTACAAACTCAATATTGATGGTGCTTCCTTGAGAAATCCAGGTTTAGCAGGTGGTGGTGGAGTTATCAAGAATAGTGTGGGCGGCTTTATTGCTGTTTTCGCAAAGCATTTTGGTTTTGCTTCTAATAACCATGCGGAATTCTTGGCATTTGAAGAAGGAGTTCAATTGCTCATACAAAGTAATTGTTTCCAATTCAGATTGAAAGTGACTCGGCCTTGCTTGTGAATGTCATCCATAATCGATGCAATGCCCCATGGAGGGTAAAGACGATTGTAGACAATTGTTGCACCAGACTGTCTTCTCATCGATGGTCTATTACACATGTCTTTCGTGAGGCTAACAAGGTTGCTGATGCCCTAGCCATGAGGGCAGCTGCTGCCCCGGTGCTACTGTGTCGTGCCATATACCATCAGATTTTCTTTCCTCTTTTTTATTACATGATCTGGCACAATTGTCCTACCGTAGGGTTCTATCTTAATTGTTTTTCTCTGCTCTTTTATTAATAAGAAACGGGTAGGGGGCCTTCTCCCCCACTGACTTCCCAAAAAAAACGGAGACACAAAATACAAGGGGATCAAATTTTAAATAATCTTAAAAGATTACATAGAGCACATCATATTAGAACCAAATGCTCTACAATGAACGAAATTATAGACTATTAAAAAACAATTAACCATTAAAAAAAAGAAAAGAGAGAGAGAGAGAGAAAGAGAGAGATTCCCCAATTACATGGAAGATATATATGACAAGTTTGTGAGACCCAAAATGACAAATACATTTATTTCTTGAGAGAGTACAAGTATGATAAGATGTGCTCAAAATGAATGACCAAAAGCCAAATACAAAGAAGAGATGACAAGCCGATGTACATGATGTAATGCATCAGCCACACCAAACACAAAAATTTTAAAAGCCACGTGACTGATTCTCATTAATCTGAGCTGGGTATATGATATGTGCATATGCATATTTATACATACACATACACATCCACATACATTTTATAGTTATATATGAGATGGATACTAGACACAAATACATGCATGCACGCACACACAAAGGAGAGAAAAAAGTCACAGTGTTACTATATTATTAAAATAGATCAATGTCCACTAATTGCTTACAGTCACAAACATTATTGAAAATTGCTCATTTGATTTACTAACAAAATATTTGAAACTAATAATAAACCATAGATTATTGGAAATTCCAAACATATATCAAATTTCCTTGAAATTCTAATCTGTTAATTTTTTTATGAATTAAATTTATGAAATTGTACCGAAATTTCTGAAATTTTCTAAATTTCTCAATTTTGGTAAAATCTACTGCTAATCAAAATATTTGAATTTACCAAGATTACAATCATATTTATTCAAAGTTATTGAACTATTAGTCCTGCAAGAGTACAAGCACTGAAATCATTGAATTAACCACTAGTTGTAAAATATGCATAATAAACTAAAGTTAATAAAAAATTGACTGAAATCTAATGGCACTTAAATCACCAAATTTCCTAATTCATTGAAATTATTAAAATTACAAAAATTTAATTCGGTAAAATCTAGTGAAATCTCTAATATCAACTGAAATTTTCTTTACAATACTAAAAAAAAACTACCAAGCTATCAAATCATCACTAAAACATAACCAAAATTTTCTGAAAATTAACAAGAATAATTGAAATTTACTTAATCCTAAAATTATCCACTCAAACTAAAGCACGCAAACAAGCAAACGCATACAGGCATTGTGCCTCGAATTTCATTTTAGATATTCAACTAACATAGGAGCAATGTCACAGATATAAGCAATAGTATAGGCAATGGAGAAATGGTGTCCAACCTTCAAAGATGGAAGATATAATGGGCAGCCAAGAAGTGCATCAATCCCTCCTAGAGAGCCCTGGTTTGTGAACCTCTCAACCTTGGGATATGAACAATGACAATGAATCAAGAAAACTACCTCAAAAATATCTAAAAAAACATAAAAATAAAGAGATGAGCTTTACTCACAGCGGACAGCAATAAAAAGTTAGCTGGAAGAAATTGTAAGGAGGATGAAAACCTGCAAACAAGGGATACAACATGAAATCTTGATGGTAATCGTGATCCACGTTCCTCAGTAATGGCCTCCCATTGATATGTGAGATTGACAATAGCATACCTCTGCGAAGTAGAGGACAGTAATTGCAAGACATTCAAACAAATCGGAGAAACTTCACCATCCAAATTCATCCACAACTCCCCTGAAAGCGAAAATGGTTACTAAATGTCCTAATATGACGAAACAGAAATTTATTTACTTATGGAAGCATAATGACTTGAAATTATGTTTACATATGAATATACACTTAACATGCAACGTACCATCTAAACCACTACACTTGTCGGTCTTTATCGACAACTGACCTCCCTCAAGATCCAACAAAAATATTGACTCAAACTCCCCAACATGTTTGCACAACCTGCAAAACAATTTAAAAAATGACAAAAATAATAAGATGTGTGCAATTTCTTTATATTTTTGTAAGCGAGTACATTTCATGATACAAAGAAAGCATCTGCTGCTTCACAAACTTCATAAAACAAGCATGAGTTATAAATGTAATTTGTGGCACTTAAAGCAAAAATGTTCCAGTTAACAATAAAGTCTTGAGATGTAGTACTATTTGTCTGGGTTTAATGGGGTATCTAAATACTAACACTCCATGATTTAGGAAATGATCAAATTGATTGTGCACAAATAAGAATGCACTAGCACAAGGTATCAAACCAAGGTAAACAACACCCTAAGCAAGTATACTCTTTGCAAAGGGCTTTTTACTTATTCTGGGTAAGACAGATCCTGGGGTACCAGTAGATCCCCTGTTAATACTCTCGCTCTCGCTACAATGGAGAGCAGAACACCTTTGGCTAATCAAAAACACTTCAATGAAGAGAGTCACTTAAAAGACGATTCCAACAATAGTATTCCAATAGGAGAAGGAAACCGAAGTGCAAGCGTACTCTAAATCCCCTTCTAAAAGATTGTGGTCTACAAAGACCTCTCTGAAGCTCTTTGACCCATTGGTACTAGTCTACTTCTAGATATTTTATTTTTATATTAGAAATTTTTTTGTGAATATTGAAATAATTTAAATTATTTTCTGCTGTAAAATCCATGAAAAGAGTATTTTCATAATTATGGGACAAAGGTGGGCACATGTGGGGGCCTTTGATCCAGCCCCACGTGTGCCACTCCACATGGGTGGTGTCTGGGGACCATGGGACCCACATGTGTGGTTAGGTGCTTCGATCTCGTCCTCCGGATCAAGAGGATCGGGCGGCACAAGTCTCGGGTTTCAGGGGAGACCTGGGACTTTTGAGATCGCTCTCTCGGGAACCTCGTTCGAGAACAAGGGCAGATATTACCAACCGATGGGAAAGGAATTTAAGGCGGGTTCGAGACTTACTCGAGCTGACTCACGTGGGCACCCTCTTAGATCATGAAGAAAGCCCCTCAGTCGTAAAACTGGTTCGAAATCGCCTAACTTGGCCTGTATTCTTCTGTTTTATGCAACCACGCATATATGGCAAATGTTATAAGACAAGTGGGTCAACAGACCTCACCTCGTCTCTCTAGTGAACGCACGCAGGCGTGTACATTCATAAGAAGAAGAGAAGAATAAGAGAAGGAAGATGGGGGAGAGAAGAATTTAACCATGTGGGGAGATCAGGACAATGACTAAGCTGGTTGGTAATTGGCCCAACGTGGTAGTAAAACGGGCTCAGTAACTCAGACTAGCCCAACAGAGTTACTATAAGACAACAGTACCAATACTGACTAGCTAAACATGATGGTTAGTCTGTCGTGGCAATAAAGCGGGCACAATAATTTTGGCACAACAACATTACGGCTAGACGACAGAACTACCATGATAGGCTAATCTGAACCACTCTTTAATCAAACAGAAAAATAACAGAAAGAATAAGAAGTAGGATAAAAGAAGAAGAAGAAAATAGAAAGAAGGAGAGGAAGAGAAAGAAAGGAGGAGAAGAGTGTGAGAGAAAAGAGGGCACAGACGGCGCTAAAAGTCGCCGACTGTATTAGACAAAGGTGAGGAAGAGGACACAGTCGGTGCTAAGCATCGCCAGCTGTGTTAAACCAAAATGAGAGAGAGAACACAGTTAGCATTGAGCGTCGCCGGCTGTGTTAGTCAAAGAAGAGAGAAAACACAATCGACATTGAGTGCCGCCAGCTGTGTTAGTCAAGGAAGAGAGAAAACACAGTCGGCACTGAGCGTTGCCAGCTTTGTTAGACAAAGAAGAGAGAGAAAACACAGTCAACGCTGAGCATCACCGGCTGTGTTAGTCAAAGAAGAGAGAGAGAACACAGTCGATGATGAACTTTGCCGACTGGGCTAGACAGAGGAGAGAGAGGGGACGCTTCGCCAACTGGGCAAGACAAAGGAGAGAGAGGGGACGCAGTCGACGCTGAGCTTCACCGATTGTGTCAAAAGAAAGGGATAAAGGATGGGAAGAAGAGAGAAAAAGAGATAAAGATGAGAAGAAGAGAGAGAGAGAGAGAGATAGAGATGAGGAGAGGAGAGAGAAAGTTACCTTACCAAAGGATACCGACCTTTTTCTTTTCTCTCCTCTCTATCTCTCGAAGACACACCCACGAACTCAAGAAGAAATTGAAACTTTATTAATGTTTCTGTCAAATGAACCGAAGGTCTTTTTATAGTTTGGCTTTGCATGTTCATATAGAATTGGGCCCAAACATGGGTGGATGCCCAAAAACTACCTAGAATTGAAGATAATTACAATTTAATTAAAAGAAATTCTAAAAATGGGTGCAAAAAGACAATTTTACTCCTGCTTAACAATCTGTAGAATTCCATAACAATCCCTGCTGCTGGCCGAGAACTTGCAAGATCTTCCATGACTGATCCAGGGTTGCTCTGATGCCCGTTTTGATCAAAAGATAATTGTTTTCTTGTAAGGCTCAGCATGACGATCGATTTGACACCAACTTCGAGCCATGAATCATGTTTTTGAACCATGATCATGAGACTGGAAATTTGCTTGAATCTTGAAAACTTTAGATCGATAGTGTGTTCATTTTTTGATTTTTTTTTTCTTTAGTTTCTTTGCTGAATCATACTGAGCATCTCGTCACGATCACGTTACAACAAACGCGGCTCAATTTCGTGTCCGAATGAAGATTTCGTCGTCTTGAGTTTTTGGCCGGATTCTTGAAATCCGACGGTCGAAATTTACGGCAACTTCGACACCTCCCTGTGTGAAATCCAATCGTTCATCGTAAGCAAGGTTCGGACTAAAGATAGTCACGGACCTTACGCACATAATGCACTGGGTTTCATGTCGATCGGGTACGCGAGAGCCATGATTTGGCCGCTCGAGTGCAGCATGTTGCTACTGAATTTTCTGTAATTTTCTTCACGGATAAGCAACTTCTCTCTAGTTTTCTCCCTACTCGGGCATCGTCATGGGGCGTACCACATATCGAAACGCTCGTCTTGATGAGATGAACAAGCTCACAAAATTTGAAAACGATCCGACTTGGAACGAGTGAGATATAGGGCCCAAAATTCATTGCCCGTGACTGTAAAAACAGCCACATTTAATGGTGTTTTGGTGCAAGGTGGCCACACGGGAATAATATGCGACCTACCCTCTTTTGGTATTTTACCCATAACTTTGTCTTGGTGTGCCCGATTAAGCTGAAACTTGACCCATAAGGGTTTTCGACCATGCCGAATCCAATGGAGGTGATCCCACAACTGTTTGACGCACCAAAAATATAGTTCTAGTTACAGAGTCCATTTCAAGGTGCTAGAGGCCAATTTTTTCAAAATTGTTTCTCTGTGCTCACTGCCTTAGACATGTCTGATCGTGATAAAACTTGACAGGTGGCCTTTTAGAGTGCTGATGAAGATCTTAACCAATTCTGAGACCATCAAAATTTCCATTGTTTTATCAGGCTTTATTGATCTGCTTCCTCTTTATTCCGCATCAGGGACCAAGGTGCTAAAAAAAGCGTTCAAACAATGTCACCCAAGGGGTGGTATGCCCCTCTTCTTTATTTATTTAAGTTTATGTTTTAATTAAAGATGTTTTAAATCGGAAAAGATAATATTTTAAAAAAGATATATATATATATATTTTTATAATATTTTAAAAGGAAATATTATGTGTCTATTTTTGTGGGAGTTAGTTTTGATCAAATTATATTATCTTTGACCGCCTACAATTTTGAAAGAGATATTAGGTAGTTCTGGAAAGTTCTAGGCAGTTTTAATCCTAATTGGACTAGAAGTAGATATGGGTCAATTATTAAGGAGATAATCTCCTAATACTCCCCTCTAAATCATGATGGTTGATTTAACAGTTGGGTGTCCTAGATTTTATTCTCTTACCTCACAAATTTTCTTAATTCCCATTGGTCAAAGTGAGTCGTTTGATAGGCATTACCTAAGGTGGGTCTTGTGGCCTATAAGAAGAGGTGAACCCCCATCTAATTCTCCATACAATTGAACCTCCCTCTCTCCTATCTCTCTCTCTCCACGCCCCAAACAAGACTCTTTCTCTCTCATCTTTTGTTGTCTTTTCTCCCCCTCTCTCTCTGAAAGAGGGCATGTCACCCTAAAAAGAAGATATAAGGGTGGCATGCCATATAAAATAAAACCCTAGGTAGGGTTTGGAGGGAGAGTGAGGCGTGCCCAGCCCAAGAAAAGGGAGGTGCCCTTTATGGCATGCCCTAAATTTGTTCGTAAAGTTCTAGTAAAACCCTAATTCTGTTTTGATACTTTCTAAACCCTCAATTTAGAGGTATTGCCTAGACAAGCTCCCGGCTCTAAAATTCCAGCAAGACCAAGAGGATTAAAAGTACGCCATCAGCAACGAAATCAAGTGTGGGGTGTACCAAGTCATGTCAAGATAACCCTAAGCACAATCGAGGAAGTCTTCCCTGTTGTTTATTTCTATTTTTCAGTCATATTTCCATATTTACTGTGATTTTTCAGTAACCTTATTTGTACTTAAATTGTTAGTGGAAGATTGGTTCATATTCCTGGATTGTGTTTATTTGTTTTAATAATAAAACAAAACGTCCTAGGTTGCATCTAGGGTTTTAATTTACATTTAAAACAGTGTATTGTGGCACTTGTAAGTGGAATTCATATTCAATAATAAACAAAAGCAAAAAAATTTATTTTATGGAATTGAATTCCACATAGCCACATCTTTCAGTGGCTTCTACTCTCCTGTTATTGTGTTGTGGTTCTTGTTGAACCATTGCTCTTCCTCTATCAACTTCTTACTATTATAGTGTTGCAACTAACCGTTGTTGTGGAGATGGAATAAGTGGGTAAGTGGGTGGTTAGCCAACGTACTAGTAAAATATTAGCATTTCATGGTAAGGTAATGGGCAACCGATTTGGACAAGATCTGCACAATTATTTGTAGATCAGTTAGTGGATAGCTTAGTGGGGGAATGGGAACACGTGTCTCATTGGATTCCATCATGTCCTCCGTCTTTCTCTATCAGTTGTGGAGAGAGGTAGTTTTGAATGTCTGTTGGCTTTATCACATTTTCCTTGAACCTCATATTTGTCCCTGTAGACGTTGTGGGATGCTATTTCAATTGTGTTCTTGCTGTTGCTGCTAGAAAGGACTTGGGCATTTTTCATTTTGGCTTCTTTTCTTTTTGATAAAATATTGGCTCTGCCCTCCTTGTTGCCATTATTGGTGACCAAGCACCTTTTTTGCCTTTATTCTCTTTTAATGTGAAATGGTTAAAGTGATATCTCCATTCTACCCTTCCCATTGTTGTTTAGGAGGATAGGATGTTTTGCTTTTGTTGGATCAAATTGTCCTTTTCTCTTTAAGGATCTTCTCAAGGAGGTGATCCCCATTAAATACCAGCCTCAATTCTCATTTTTTGGGAAAATATCTGTGAATTTAGAAGAAATAAGAATAGGTTTTCAACTGTGTACTTTAGACCAAATAAAAAGGTGAGTAGAAGATACAGAAAACTAGAACTATACTTTCGGTGTAAACTTGTTGCATGAGCCCGGTGTGAAGTCCTTATAATAAATTGGGTGAGTGGAAATTGCGTCAAGTTGGGTTCGAACCATGCAAAAGGGCGCGAGCTTGTTGAGTGAGCTTACTCCCTTGATGCAAGGGAATTTGAGGGAACAATAAAATAAGTCAGAAACAAATCCAAAAACAAGCATAATTCAAAGAAACATAGGGTTTCTTCACTACACCTCAAGCTAGGGTTCTAAAAGCCTAAGTTTTTCTCTCTTTTAATTTCTAAATATCATGTGGAATTTACCCTCTTAAGGCCCCACAAACGCCCCCACAAGCGTCTTATATATTATATTTAATATTCCAAGTACAAAAATTATCTAAACAAATAACATATTGATCCATACAACTTAACTTAATATTCATAATGACAGTTTTACCCCTATGAACAGTACCCATGGACAGTAATTGTGAATAGTACTCATGAACTAAATAAAAAAAAAAAAACCCTTGTATCGCTAGAAAAACTAAAAAGCCCTAGAAAAAAACCTTTAAACTAAAATTATAATATGCATCCTTTAAAATTGAATAAAAATAAGAATAATTTTGCCCTCCAACATTCTCCCATGGTTGGAGAAACCTCGTCCTCGAGTTTTGAAGTGTGCTAAGATGAATTCAGCATCAAAACCACCTTCTTCAACCTTCTTTTTTTTTGTTGGCTCAAAGATTATTCGTGGTAAAATAATTTCTCAAGAAATGGATCTTAATATGTATATTGAGGAAATGATACAAATTTATCAAATTCGGCTATTCTTAAACTCTCATTGAAAATCATGTAAGATAGTCCAAACTCAATTTTCTGATCTTTAAAAGATTTCTTCTCATTTATTTTATTACTCTATGAAATCAGGGCCACAATTTGCAGATTTTGACTCGATTATGCTTCCACTGCACTACTCTATTCCAATGCCCTAAATCTCCTAAATGTTCCACCTCTAGGATATCCTTAAAATCTTCGATATTTTTCTTCATCAAAGATTGATTCACACACAAAAATTTTTGCTTTATCATAAATCAGATCTTTTAAAAGATCTTGTTGTTCATCAGAGTATGCATCGAAGATTGGTGATGAATCCGAATTTACAACTTGCTGATTTGCAATGCAATATGTGTCAAATCAAGAATCTCAGCCCTCAAATCAAAAACCCTAGAGTGATGCACCTCACGTCTAGGTCTTTGGTCGCTATCCTCATCATTCAACCCACACGCAGAGCGCGAAAGTGAAAAGGCTTGTACTAGAGATTCTCTGGAGCTGAAAGATTATCGTTTTGCCCATTGTTGAGGCTCGCAAACTGCTATGTCGGCTACTGTACTTGCCTCTCAAGTTCTTTAATTTTGTCATCTATGGGATAACAGAGTGGATCTACAAAAATCATACTTCTACGGCCACTTCTCGTTGCTATGGGTTCACCGAAATCACAAACCCTAGGTAAATAATCGACACAGAGCTGCTAAAATCAGCACGATCTAGGTTGTTTTGGCAAAACTTTTATCAAAATCAGAAAACCCTAGACCCTATTGTAGCTTTCCCTCTTTGTTGTTGATCTAGGGTACAAAATAATATTCGTTACAGTATTGTTTGTACAATGCTACAGTAGCTCCGTACACTACTACAGTACCTTTTGCTTAGTTCGCAGGCTATGATACCAATTTGATGCAAAGGAATTTGATGGAACAATAAAATCAGCAAGAAACAAAGCCAAAAACAAACATAAATCAAATAAACCTAGGGTTTCTTCTCCATACCTCAAGGTAGGATTCCAAAATTCTAAGCCTTTCTCTCTTTCAATTTCTAAAAAATAATACGAAAGTTACCCATCTTATATATTATTTTTAATGTTCCAAGTGCAAAAAGTGTCCAAACAAATAATACATTGACCCATATATCCTAACTTAACTAAAAATTTGCAATGACAGTTTTACCCATGTGAATTGCACCCGTGAACAGTAATTTAAATAGTACTCATGAAGTAAATAAAAATAAATAAAAACCCTAAAAATAAACCTTCAAACTAAAATAATAATATACATCATTTAAAATTGAATAAAAATAATAATAATAATTTTTCTCTCCATCATCCTTCCCCAAATGAGAGAATCCTAGCAAATCGAAAAGAGGAGGGCCCTCTATATCAATTTGACTTGGGGTAAGGATAGGTCTTCTGGAGTACACTATGCAAAATAGCAATTGCCAAAACCTATACAAACAAGTACCAACATTAGAGAGCAATGTTTACTATCAAAACAAAAACTAACAAATGACTGTTCTAGAAGTTTACGACAAAACACTTTTTCGTGAAAAGTAAAATAAACTAAGATCAAAAGAAAAGCACGTAGTAGAAAATACCAAGCTTCTAATTTTTTTATTTTATGCAAAAAGCATGAGAAACATAGTGGTTGACCACATGTATTTTATTGTATCCACCAGTGTTTTACAGTTCAAGGGGTCCAATTGGACTCGTGCAAGTTACTCAAGCTCAACAGGGTGACAAGCCCTAAACTCCCCCAAACTCGAGGGGTATATAATTGCTATACAATTAATTATAAGCCATCTAATATTTGATTATGTTAATTATAATTGACTTATAACTATTTCTATTTATGCTTTTTACAATTTATGTTATTAATATTTTCTATTTTTCAAATTTTACTTTTTTTTAAAGCTGATATTAAACCAGTTTTCTGTTTTTTAATTTTTGCATACTTTTTCCACTTTGATATACTTTTTCTGTTGTTTATCATTTCTTTGCTTTTTTTGCTATTTTTACTATTTTTATGAATTTTTCTTCGTTTTTTTTGTTTTTCACCTCATTAGGCTGCTTGGGGCGTACTTGGGAAGTCAACTCAAACTCGACCGAGCCAAGGACCAAGTTGAGTTGTGAAATGCTGTTATCCACAAATCCCACGAAAGTGTTAGGAAATAAATGGTTGTGCCCTTGTGTTTTATGGTGTTTAGGAATATCAAAGTCTAGGCTAGGATGGAAGCTGGTTTTGTTTAAGTGTCACAACTTACAACAGAGAGGGGCATCCAATAGCAAAGATAGTAATGAATTGATTTTGAAACACTGCAGAAATTACATTAGTGGTAACAGTAACTTCAGAATTTTGCTTATAGTTAAAAACAATATTTGACATACTATTACTCAAATTGGAATGCTTCAACATTTGCCAATTCATCCAATACTTTCACTTCTAAAAATGTTAAATATCAAATAATATAATTCATCAAATTTTACACCTGAGAAATAAAAAATCATGCAAATTCCTTTTTCATGAATGATGAGGTCAATAGTGGTAACGATTTATATACAGAAGGATGGGACATTAAGTCTGGGAATCAGACAAGGGACAACCCCTCCCGAAAGGGACCCAACTAGGTACAGATTGAAAGAACAAGAAAAGCACCTTAAAAACAAGTTCTAGACTGGGTATCAATATTAGTATCTATAGAGACAGAAATCAACCCATGAATACAACTGACTAAGATAAGATACAATGTACAAGTCAAACTTGAGTGATAGACAAAAGAAATAGCACTCCTATATTATCTTTTTAATTGTTGAGATGATGCTTTTGCAATGAAAACATACAAATTCAAAACATGCAATGTAGAGTTCCTATACTTCCAACGGAAGTCCACAAAATCCACAAAGCAACAAAACAGAATGCTGAGGCATCAATAAAATTTAGGATGTCCATCTGCGTTACAGTTGCAATTAGAAATCTTACCATTCCATTATGGTAGCTTGAAGGTTTGTGCATTTCAATAAGCCAACTAATTCGTCATACAATAGAACCAAAGGTAAAGGCAACAATCTACAAGAGTCCAAAGCCATTTTCAACAGCTCTAAAGCCTCCTGAGAATTTGTTTTCTGCACACAGCAAGTACAAGTTGTAAGATTCAAACCAAACATTGCACCATAATTAAAAGCCTGTGATTGGCACCAAACTTCAGCCTGCTGACCGTTCCCTCGCAAAATTATCAAGAATGAGATACATAAAGAAGTCAAATGATGAAAATTCATTAAGGATCAAATGATGAATATTACTTTAGCAAAAAATAATAGGATGCAAATTTATTAAGGTCAAAAATATGAAGGTTTATTTCATCAAAAAATGATGAAGATTTATTGAGGTTCAATCAAGCTTCAAATGATTTCAATTTTCTGAGGAACCATCTGTCTGAGGAAGCATCATTTGAGACCTAGATACAATGCCAAGAAATCAATATTATGAAAAGGCTGCAAGATGACAAATATGTGAATGTTGCAAACAAAGTAGTTGCCAAAATAACACGTTCCTTTTCTCAAGATAGATTTGAAGTGACAGCTCAAAATTACACAATGTTGTAAATTCTGATAAAATTCCTTCATGATGGTAGTTCTCGAGCAATTGGCAAGAGATAGTGTAACATGAAACAGAGAGGAGTAGTATAAAGATCAAAACCACAGTTATGAAAGAAATCAATACATATGGATCCATCCAAATGAGGTAAAATAGGATCAGTCATGTACTAACATCATATAGAGTTGAAGAAGCTTAAGTGACAGTACAACTCAGCGAGAGAACAGGGAGCCCATCAATCTTCGTGTGGGTATCAGATCGAGTAAGATGTGTCCTAGCACTTGATGAACCACTATTCAGAATTTATTCTATCTAATTCATCCAGTATGGAGCCAATGCTCTAAGGAAAACTATATCTCTGTCTTGAAAACATCAAACTACTACTCCTACCTGAGTCGATGAGATCAAGTTACTGGTAGTTATTTCTCCTAGAGAAGAAACTATCTTCAGGATGCCGATTATCCCCATCCTTTTGTACTTCAAATCCCCATTTCCAACCTATTAGAACAAGAAAGCAATGACATAATATAGCTCAAAGCAAAAACACATGCGAGAAGCTCCCTCTCAAGATGAACAAAGCAACTAGATAAGAAGCACATGCAAAAGAAGACTTGCAATGGAACGAACATGGATAATTATAGAGAACCTGTTTGCGGACAATCATCAAAAGATCATTGGCAATGGATGAATTCCGGATATCAGAATTGGGATGAGCTAGCAATGCCAAACGGCTGAAAATTTCATAAACCTGCATTTTGGTGACTGACCATTAAAAGGATGGGACTAATATTCAATGCAAGGAAACACATTAAAGTTAGTCAACACATGGACAGGAAAGAATTTAAACCTTGTGCACATGCCCATCACTAAAACCTTCCAGATAATCCAGAATACCTGATACCGAATGAGTAGACTCAGATACCAGCAGGAAGCAGAATCTTTCATAAAAATCTTACTGCATGGACTGGTCAACAAATTATACCATTTATATGTGAAGATATTGAAACCAGGTCCTGCGGATATTTTGATGTCAGAACCATCATTGTCTCGAGAGCGGCATTCACTTCATAAATAATGCCAGAACCCATATGTGTGATCAGTGAGCCGAGAACCTGCAGAAACCATTGGAATATGTAAGTAAAGGAATGTAACAAGTGGCCAGTAGTTAGAAGTAAAACAGACAGGAAATGCCATGTCACGGCTAAATGTTATCTTGCACTACTTGTGTAATGGGTACTCACTTCTTGCCTAGAGTAAGCATCCATGAATTCCTCAAAAAGAGTTACATAAATGTAAATGCCAAATTCTCGTGCCCTTTGTTCTTTGCATGTCATAAGGAACTCACCAATGGAGAGAAAGGATGAGAAGTAATCCTACAGCACAGCTCAGACAAAACAACCCCAACGTCATAATCATCTTGTGCTCCAACTCAAAACATGCATAGAAAATGAATATGACCCATTTGTGAGATGTGACACAAAATACCAACCTGGACGATCATCCCCTGACCATGAATACATCGATAAAATACGGACTCCCCAAAACAACCATCGATTACTTTCCTCTTTATAATCTTTTCAACTGTTTTTTGCAATAAGCCTCCATTTGTGTAGATAACCATGAGCAACCACACATCAATGACCTTATGCTCACGTGCATTATCAAGGGACTTAATTACTTTCAGGAACGCATCACAAAGGATCTGCTAAATTGAACAATGTTAACTTCCAAAAGCTTCCATAATGTACATAAAGTTCAAACTATCACCAATTCGATTTTAAAACAATAAGTACATCACTTACATCCTTGAAACGAAGACCTGATTTCAGAGCCTCAAGAATGGAAACCTCAACACCATCAGCAATCATTTTGCCTTTGAGCTTCTTCTGCCTGGTGGCATTAGGATCTGGTATGCCGACAAATTTTAAGTGTTCACGGATCTGTGATATTATCCTCCTAACATTTGTAGGTGTAGCCGAAAGTAATAAGAATCTCAGTAGGTGTGACAAGTGTTCCATGCTGACAGTCCTAATGCAAGATAGGGCAATGGTGACCACCTTCAGGAAAGCAGCAGACCCAATGAGCAAAAGGACAGTGAACAATTATGTTGTAAAAATAATAAATAAGAAGAACAAATATAGGAAAATGAGAAACAAAATGAATCTTGGAAATCCAAACAGAAATTTACCTATCATCCCATTACTTGCATTAACCCCACTCACTAGAAAGTATGTGCAAACTGAGCATACAAATAAGGAGAACGAATGCAACAATAATAGTACCTCTTCTTGAAGAGTAGCATTGAGGTTGAGATTGGAGAAAGCGTCGAGAACAGGCACAATGACATCTGAGTCCTCCTGCAACATCTGCTCAAGTGTGGCAACAACCGCCTCATTGGTTTTATCCCCAAGCATCTCAGGGAGTGAACCAATAATGTCTTTCTTCAGCGAAAGGGGGCAAATTGAGAGCACCTCCATCAACTTATCAGCAAAACCCTTAGGGTCCACAAGGAAGTCGAGCCAGCAAAACTGGCTGATGATAAGCCTTGCGATATCATCCTTTAACAAAGCAGACTCCATTCCAAAATATTCAGGAAGCTTCTCGAGAAGCATGTGTTGGAGGCCAAGCTGGATAGGCGGAACCAAGAGAAGTATCCTTACAAGGCTATCACTATTGCTACTATTAAAAGAAGACGAGTGCTCTATCTCGGTCCGCGGCAGTGATGTGAGAACCCTAATTCCCATGGTGAAAATATAAAAAATAGTAAGAAGCAAAGTTTACATAATGATTCGCTCAAAAAAAAAGGATACATCATGGAAATGCTGACTGTAGAGAACTCTAATTTGAAGTAGAAATGACACCAAAAAAACCGCAATCTAAAATTCAAAGATATATAGAATTGTAGGGTATCTAATTTGAAAAACGTATAAAATACCATTGGCACCCTATTCGAATAAAGGGCAACAGAAAGACCGTAATGTGCATGTCCAGAGTGCGAAAAGTTAAAAAGGGGGAACCCCAATCTGTAGATATTTATGGTTAACAGAGCAAGACAAGTAAAAATATGAGACCAGAGTTGCAGAACAATAATATGGGAATTGGGAAATATGAGAACCCCAATTTCCCAAAACTGAATCGAGAATAAAGGGAGGACACTAATTTCCATAAACAGTACGAGATAGAGAAAATAATGCACGGAGAAGACTCAGTGACCTACCTCTTCAGATTATGGGGAGCGTTTATATAAGAAGCAAAGCCACTGAGGAATTGGGGGATCAGATTTGGGTCCGAAGAGAAGCGGGCCTCGAGGTGTTTATGGAGCTTGTGAATGTCGTTCGGGACGAGTGGAAGACCACCGCCAGAGTTGCAAAGTGTGCACCCCGCCTCAGCAAGGAGCGCAACCATCGCCTCTTCCTCTGAGACAGGGACTTCTCCTTCATTGGAGACTCGATTCTTCTTATTTTTATTGTCGTTGGTGGGAGGGAGAGAATTGTGCGAATCACCCGCAAGCGCAGTGTCAGGCCTCTTGCGACCTGAAGAGCGTTGCAAAAACACCATCACTCACTCTCTCTCCCTCCCCCCCCCTCTCTGATGCTGCGGTTTACTCCTCGCTTTCTCTCTCTCTGCTCTCTTGAGTCTTGATGGTGCGTTTTTGTTTCTTTCTCTCTCTTGACGCACACCTTTCTCTGCGAGTGAATAGACTTGCGTTTTGATTCCGACGGGCGGGAAAACCAGGCGGGGATCAAAGGGCGTTGCAGGGAGAAATCTTCATTTATATATATATTATGAGGGAAATGACCTTGTGGCCCTTCCGCACCCTTGTTTATATGGTCTCGAAATATGATCATTAAATTTGAAATATATTTCTAAAAAAATTAAGTTTCATATTTAATAATTTTTTTATAAATCCATATCAAATTTAATGGTGATCTTTTAAGGTTCTACACAAATGAGTGGGAGATGGTCTAAAAAATAAAAATAAGTTTTTTTAAAATAAAATTATAAAAAAAAAAACCCTAAAATGAACTATTTATGCAACTTATCTTATCCCAAAAAAATTTTCACACTTTTTCTCCCCAAACAACATTTCCTCACATAACCCAAAAAAAATTTCACACTTTTTCTCCCCAAACAACATTTCCTCACAAAACCCCCAAGGTAAAAAGTTTTTATTTTTTGGATGGAAATGTTATTTCGTACAAACCAAATCAATTCGTGGATCCCAAGTAAAGTAGTGCCAGAGCACAGTATACTACTGCTGGAGTGGAATGCCAATAAGCACTGTCGGAGCATGGTGCTACATTATTGGAGCGTTGTGGCTCTAGATACTTCATTACCGGAGCGAACTACTGGAATGCGTATTTTCACTACAAAATTGCGTTCTCAGAATGTCGAATCGTTGTGGATCAGACAAATGACTACCGGAGCACATATTGGGACTGTCGAAGCGTGCATTCAGATTGCCGGAGCGCAATTCTCAATATGCTGAAGCACTGTGGGTTAGACAAAGCATTGCTGGAGCGCGCATTCGGACTGCTGGAGTGCAGTCCTCCATTGTCAGAATGCTGTGGCTCTAGAGGTTTCATTGCTAGAACGTTGTAGCTCCATAGGCTTCATTGGCGAAGTGGACTGTTGGAGCATGTAGTTGCATTGCCAGAGCAACTTATCATAATGCCCGAGCGCTACAGGTCAGACAAAGTATTGCCGGATCGCGCCTTTCCTATGGGAAACAGGAAAGAGAAAGCAGTGTTAAAAGAAATGATGGTACTTTAGTTTTATTTTTTCTTACTTTTGAGTTGAGGGGTTTTTTTGCGAAGAAAGGTAGTTTGGGGAAAAAAAGTGTGATAAAATATTGGGTTAGAGGTAAGTTGCATAGATAGTTCATTTTAAGGTGTTTTTTTTTGTAATTTTCTCCATATTTCATACTTTGCATGAAGATATATGACATATATAATAATGATATATATTATAAAATAATATATAGTATATATAATATATATTATTATATATAATATTCATATTATATTATTATATATATTTAAGTAATATAATATATTTATAAAATTATATTTATATTTGAGTATATAAGAAATATTATTATTTATAAAATAATGTGTTATATATTATATAAATTATATTATATATTATAGTTAGGTGATTATATTGAGCTCACTGCATCAAAGATAACTATGACATTCTTGTATTAATTTAATTATCTTATTGTATACCATTGTGTCCTAACTTCATGGATAGTGGGGTTTACTTAGGCATCATACAACTACCACTAAATATTACATTTTCATTAGACAAGGGCACTTTCATCTTCCTATATAAAACAAATGGGTAACATCCATTTCCAATGAAATCCCTTGGACCAGTCTTTCTCACCGATGTTGTCAGATTCTCTTCTCTTACACCAAATTTGTAGGAGTCTTCGCCCTGAGGGCCATAAAATAAAGGCAAGTGAATCACTCCATGACTAAAATGAATATATCGTTAGTTTTTTTTTTTTTCGAATGTAGCATCTATCTACATATAAACGATCATAAAATACTCAAAAAATATATAAGTCACAATATTCTTGTTTTATTTTTTATTGGGAATTACACCTTAGTTTTGAGCCATTTAATATTTCACCCTGATGCATGTTAATAAATTCCAGAGCTTGTTTTTATGAGTCATTTGATGGGCAATTTAAAATTTGATGCAGAGATTGATGGGAAATTTTAGATTAGATAAAAAGGCATAGTAAGATGTTAAATAGTTCTTATTGTTTGATAAATTATTCTTTTGTATTTTTTATTTTAAAAAAGGAAAATTACAAAACACACCTTAAGTATGGGATTGTATACAATAAGACCATTTACCTTTTATATAAGAAGGTTACAATTGTTTATAACCATCTGATTTGAAATCTGACAACTTAGATGTGTCACAAAGTCTGAAAAATTTTATTTTAAACTTTAAGCTTAGTCAATACAATAAATGTAGCCACCCAATTTCAAATTTAACAGTCAAGATTAACTGTGACTACCTTCACATTGTATATTTTTTCTATTTGTATTTGTCTCGGCCCATTCCCCCATTCTTAGCCCCCGAAAAGCCATATATGTTATTTTTAATATTAATGTTCTATTAATGCCTCATAAATCCCCACCTCATTGCTCTAATTTAATTTTTATTTTATTTAAATTTTCTTTTTGAGATTACCAATTCAAACCCATCCGAATTGACAAATCCAACTATCCATAAGCATCTACAGTAGACAATCAACGGCACCAATCCAAGTTTCGAGACACTACCTAGAGCTCAGATCAGTCTACAAGACAATGAAGGACTGTCATTCCACCAATTTAAAAAAATACATAGGTACATTATATATCTAAATTCTATTTTGCATCGATTAACATTTACCTTGGTACATCTTGCGTATTAGTATTTTATAAAAATGTGTGGTTTCTATAAGGTCGTAACCTTAAACCTTTAAATTAAGGCTCACATCCAAATTTTATCATAACGTGTAATTTTCATTTAAAAAATTATTAAGATTATCTAAAAATTTATTTTTATATCAAAATATAAAATTTTAAACTCAATAAATGATTAAAATCAAGTAGATTTATAAACATATGAGATCTTGAAAAATGGAAGGTCTAGATAATGTGTTGCAATATATACTATGTATGGGACTTAAATTCTGTTTTTTTTTTTCTTTTCATATTCATACATCTCTATGTGGAGATGATTGATTAGAGGGTTTTTCAATATTAAACCAACATTTTTTTGATGGATTTTTGAGGTATAGTTTTAATTCCCCAACCTTATATAATTTTTTTTTTTAAAAAAGTAGTGGACATTTTAGGCACATTTTAAAGGTAACACTCGAGAAGTGTCGTTCTATGCGACCATCGGGGCAGCTCACCCTGGAGCGTGTATTTAGGGATAGAGGGAAAAGACAAAGGCGGAAGAGGTCGACATTTTCCTCGCTCGACCCGACTCATTTGCTCTCTCTCTCTAGACCTCCCAAATCTCTCTCTCTCTCTCTCTTCGAGTACAGAGCCTAAAAGAACAAAGGAATGGAGCAGGAAGTCGGCCTTTCTGCAACTTGCACCGCCCGCTTTCTTCCTCGCCTCCTATCCCCATCACCCAATTTATTTTGATCATCAAAGATAGAGAGAGCGTGTGTTTTAAAAAGGTAAAAGAGAGAGAGAGATGCTCCTTCATTGATGTCTCAGGCAAAGCGGCACAGCAGCTGCTCCCCCTCGGCCACCACAAGCAGCGGCAACGGCGGCACGGGCCCCGCCATGAAGAAGGCCAAATCCTTATCTTCCTCTGCATCTCAACCCCCTTTCTCTTCTTCTTCCTCCGATAAGCAAAACCCTCGCTTTTTAGACGAGGATGCCATGCTTGTCGATCGCAAAGATGAGGTCATTCCCGTGCCTGCAGCGCAGGCTGTGGCGCTCAGTGCAGGGTGCAGTGGCACAGGAATGGCTGCCAATTTGTCGAGAAAGAAGGCGACCCCACCACAGCCCACGAAGAAGCTTGTCATCCGCCCATTCAAAGGTAATATTATTTACCCATCCGTAATGGCCTCCCCCTTTCTTTTTTATACCAAATTGTTGGATCCAAGATTGGTGTGGATTTCATTTGGGGCTATTATTGAGCTTCTATGTGTTGTTCAGCTGAGTTTGGTGCTAAATTTTGGTTGCTTTGATAAATATTGTAGTTCATTGTGTTGAAAAAGGAAAAAGAGGAGGATTTTTTGTGTTAAAGTGAGAGAATTATGGGCAATTAGGGGTTTGAGTGAATATTTGTGCACTTCCAGTCTGTTCAGTTGCTGAATACTATCTGCTTCCTGTGGATTGTTTTTTTGTTGTGTTATGACTCAGAGGTTGATAAGATTCAACAAAATGTTTTTCTTTTTCTGTTCCTCCTATTTATTTCTTCAAAATTGCACTAGTTTAATAATGACTGTATTTGTATAGATTTAGGTTTAAATGGAATATTTGTTAGACCATTGTTTTGGATGCTCATGGTTATCCAGCCTACTTTGAAATAAACACTTGTGTTTTGTTTTTGTTTTTTTGTCTCTTTGAAATAAACATGCATGTAGAGATTGGTGCATGGGTTTGAGGATATTTTTTAGATATTCATTCGTATAGTGATTAGGTATAGAAATATTTGTAGAAAAGCAAGTACCCTGAGGCCTTGTTTGGTAACTAAGAAAGCTGTTTTTCTGGAAAAGCTCTGAGAAATTGGGATCGTAAGGAAAAGGTGGAAGTGGCTGGAAGCTGAGAAACCTTGTTTGGTGACTTTTATGTGAAAACTGTGGAAATCTCCTGGTGGCAGTTTCCCCTGTTTGCGAACCTCGAAACTGGTAACTAGAAACTTGTTGATTAGAGGTTGGAAATTTTCATCCGTTTTTTATTTTTATTAGTAATTTTTTACTTGATTTTGATTTTTTAGTGTTCATGTCATTACTTACAGATGGTTGAGATCGTAAATTGTTAAATTTCTTTTCATCTTCCCCTCCTCCTTATTTTTGTAGGCTATTATTCTAAACAAGTTATTCAATGTTCTTGTTACCTTTTACCGATGTCAACTTTATTAAATCAAAAGCATCGACAAAATTTTATTTTCTAAAATAGACCATAGTAAGCCTCTAAAAGCACAAACAAGGACTAACGATGAAGAACTCATATAACTAAATGCTTCAACATTGGCCTTGAATATCAAAGAATCTTGGTCACAGAGTTAAGTAGAGAGACTGGTTGCATAGAGAGAGAGGGGCTCAGTCTTGGGTTGAGAGTAGGGGAGCAGCCAGAGAGTTATGAGAGAGAACACGAGAGGATTTTGAGAGAAGGGGAGCGGCTGGCTTTTGAGAGAGAGAATGAAGAGGGTTTTGTGAGAAGGAGAGCAGCTAGATTTTGAGGGAAGGGTAGCAACTAGGGTTTTGAGAGGGAGCATGAGAGGGTTTTTGAGAGAAGGGGAGCAACTTCGGTTGAGAGAAGGAGAGTAGCTTGGTTCTGAGCGCAGAGCGTGAGAGGGTCTCACTAGATAGTGTGCAAGAAATAAAACTGGGGGAGATTATTAGGGTTTTCCCGAGGAATTGAGTCACAAGGTTGCGAAGTTTAACATAGAGGTTGATATATCCGGCAGGGGGCTCATAGAGAGAGAAGTGGGTGCTGCTTTTCCCCCATTTTCAGAGCAGTGCGCAGCCCACCCCAAGGATGGGCTGCCTTTCTCCAAAAGTGGAGAAAAATTGAGACCATTGTTCGTAAAATCACCCGATCTAATCGCTAACTGCTTGGTCAGATCTGAATCGGCCAGTGGCAGGTTCCGGTTTTGGGCGGTTAGGGTGATCAACAGGTATTTTTAAAAAAAAATTAAAAAAAAATGTATATAAAATCTAAAAAATAAGGAATTTGATTGTAATGCATTTTTAAATATTCTTTACATTATGGTAAAGATTAAAAATTGTTTTGGTTATTAATACTCACTTTTATATTTTCCCATCTTTTTTAGAAATTTTTTAAAATAGCCCTTGGAAAATATAAAATGGGTTAAAAACCCTTTTTTTCATTAATTTTCAACTTCATTTGAATTTTTTTTGTTTTAATAATTCTTTATATGCTTTTCATATTTTATTAGATTTTTTTATATTTTTTTATATTTATTTTCAACACTTTTTTTACCGCATGAGACTTGCCCGGTTAGAGTGGTTGCACGGCCAGTTTACCGGTTGGGCCGGTTAAACTGCTTTCAGGCCCATGTCCGGTTAACCGTTCTGGTTCGATTTTGTGAACACTAATTGAGACACATGGAGCACCACTTTTTTCCGTCTTTCTCCCTTTTTCTCAATGCCCAAACTTGGAAACTCTATAACATCGGAGAAAATTAAGTCTTTCTCTTGTTTTCTCCATTACCAAACAAGGCCTAAATTGTTCTAGGTTTTATAGAGTGTATGTGGGTCTTTTGATTGTTTTCTCCTGTCAAATATTTCAATTTTTTTATATTTTTGGGTAATTTTTTTATACATGCGATGTACCTCATCTCACACCATCCTTTGTCCTCCTGGAAAAAGACCTGCACCTGTATTACATCCTTTATCATCTACTAAGGTTTGTGAATCTAACACTCAAATGAGATAGCTTATTCTCCATATGCTTGATTTTTTTCCATCTATTTCTAAGAAGCCCCAATACAAGATTTGATCACTCAGATATTGATGTCTGCTTGGATGATAACCTTACTTTTTGACAATCTATGACATTAATGTGACATTGTGCCTGATGGTATGTGGATAAAATTCAGAATTTTGTTTATATAATTGCACTGTGAATTGCTTGTATACCTGCAATGAAAATCAACAAGGCACGATGTCAAAGGATGGACGTATTGGCCATTGAGCATTTTACTTTCATATTTGACCAAGTGGAGCCCCATCTTATTCACATAATCTCCTTTCATTTCCAACTGTAATTGACCAAGGTTGCATATTTTGCAACTTTAACATTTCGCGCATTGCCATTTCCTTGCAGATTGCAATGTTTGGCATGGAAAACATTTGAGCCATGCCTACGACGACTTATGTGATGGTTTTATCCTTTGAGAAACTCTTCCATGACCAACATGTTAACTTTTCATGCTGAACTCCTACTTTAAAGGGCATGGGTGTCAATTTCAATACTCCAATCGAATGATACTCTCTTTCCTACAATTACCTCTTTGGAGTTCCTAGTATCTTGGCGGGTATGATGTATATTTGGGAAACAATGCCAAACTATTTTCTAGCCGGATAGTGTTTTGATGAATATGCCATAAGATTGGTTGGTTATTTTGATTTAATGTGGGCATCCTAGTGACTTAAAGCTGAAACGTTTATTGCCAAACATTTGTTGTACACTGGATCGATGGAATCTACCGTCTTGCTTCTAATGATATATTTCACTAGCCAAAAGCTGAGGCCTGGGCTTTTTCATTTTACTTATATGTGGTTGGTGCAGTGGTAGATTGCCTGATGGAATTAGGTGTCTTAGGTCCAACTCAAGTTGAAGAGACTTATTCGATGGTCACTGCTTACTACTTTTGGTCCCAAATCTTTGGGGTTGCTTTTTTAATAAACGTTGGTTACATTTCTTTATGCTGTTTGTACCAGTAACTAGTTTATGGATGAGTGCTCTTGGAGTAGTCGGTCTGGCTTTGAACCTACATGCCTATGACTTCATTTCCTAGCCTTGTGCCCTAATACTCTTTTTCCACAAAATAGTGTGCTTCATAATTGCAAGAACATATACTGATCTCGCTTGTGAGCTCTGTATTTTATTTTTGTTTTTATTGATATGTACTTCAAACATTGACCATTCTATAAGCACTTTTAAAATGGACAAATCTAACGTCAAGGACTATCTGGATTCTATTACTCTTCTTTCTGTTAGTTTCTTATGAGTAGATTGTTTTGAAAATACCTTTATATATTGTAGGTTTCTTGTTTATTTGAATTGCATAATTATGAAAATGTTAAAAAAGGTGGAGGCATCTGCGTAGGCTGGCATCCAACTACCTGGACAACCCTAAGGTGTTGGGGGATGGGGGCATGTGCGTTCATGCCCCCGTGTGTGTGCGTGAGGCCTTACATGAAACGCTTGAGGTCATCTTCGTTTTTTTTTTTTGTAGCTTACATGTAAAGTGAGAGAGATAGAGAATAGGGGTCCGTGTGTGTGTGTGTGTGTGTGAGAGAGAGGTCTCGAATAGTCAGAGGACATGTTCTTTTCTTTTTCTTACATGTATAGAGAGAGAAATTGATAGAGGGCAATTTTCCATCCTTTTTTTTATTCAATTCAATGGATGTATATTATAGTAATTTTATGGTTTATTTATAGGGGTTTTTAGTTTTAAAGGAATTCTAGGGTTGTTATATATATATTTTATTTATTTCAGAGTACTATTCACAAGTATTGTTCGCGAGTATTGTTCACGGATACTGTTTATAGGGGTAGAATTGTCATTACAAATTTTAAGTTAAGTTCGGATGTATGGGTCAATGTATTCTTTGTTTGGACACTTTTTGTACTTGGAACATTAAATTCTAATATATAAGAGGCATGTGCGGCCTTGAGGGGGTTAAATCCAGTTGATTTTTAGAAATTGAAAGAAAGAAAAGCTTAAGGCCATTAGAACCCTAGCTTGGGGTATGGAGAAGAAACCCTAGTTTTTTTTAAAATTATGCTTGTGTTTAGCTTTGTCTCGTGCTGATTTTACTGTTCCTTTAACTTTTGCTGCATCAAGTAGTATCAGAGCATGATTCGAGGATGACTGGAGATTACAATGGCTTGTTGTGGAGGTCTTAGCTGTAGGGATGTTGATCTGATCCAACTATGCAACGAAATCAACAACTTGACGAAGAGGGTTACAAGGGTATTGCTACAAGCGGGGTCAGCAATAACATGCCCTAAACGAAGAGGAATCTACGGGGATAGATCCAAATCGTGAGGGTTTTTATGGAGAATGATGTGAATTAGAGTCCTACTCAACTATTCAAAAGTATTGTTCGCGGATATTGTTCACGGATACTGTTCATAGGGGTAGAATTTTCATTACAAATTTTAAGTTAAGTTCGGATGTATGGGTCAATTTATTCTTTGTTTGGACACTTTTTGTACTTAGAACATTAAATTCTAATATATAAGAGGCATGTGCGGCCTTGAGGGGGTTAAATCCATATGAGTTTTAGAAATTGAAAGAAAGAAAAGCTTAAGGCCATTAGAACCCTAGCTTGGGGTATGGAAAAGAAACCCTAGGTTTCTTTAAAGTATGCTTGTGTTTAGCTTTGTCTCTTGCTGATTTTACTGTTCCTTTAAATTTTGCTGCATCAAGTAGTATTAGAGCATGATTCGAGGACGACTGGAGATTGCAATGGCCTGTTGTGGGGGTCTTAGCTGTAGGGATGTTGATCTGATCCAACTACACAACGAAATCAACAACTTAACGAAGACGGTTACAGAGCTATTGCTACAAGCGGGGTCAGCAATAACATGCCCTAAACGAAGAGGAATCTACGGGGTGAGGGTTTTTATGGAGAATGGCGCGAATCAGAGTCCGACTCAGAGTTGGAGTGGAATGATGAAGTTGCCTTCAACCACCACCCGTGTTGGGAGCCTCATGTTCGGGAGAATAGATCATAGAATTTAGTTGATCTCCATGATTTAAAGGAGAACGAGGTTGAGGTTGATATTGGTGTAGGTTGTATCGTAAATCAACAGGTTGTATATTGGGATATGCCACCAATTTTCAATGCATACTTAGATGATGAACAAGATCTTGTAAAAGATCCAATCTATGTGAAACTGATCTTTGACGAAGAAAAATATAAAGATCTTAAGGATATACAAGAGGTGGAACATTTAGGAGACTTAGGGCATTGGAATCATAGTAGCGCAGTAGAAGTGTGGTTGACTCAAAATCTGCATGTTGCAGCTCTGGTTTCAACAAATAATGAAATATAAGTCGAGAAAATCTCTAAAGGCCAGAAGTTTGAGTTTGGAATATCTTACATGATTTTCAATGGGAGTTCAAGAATAACCAAATTTGATAAATTTGTATCAATTCCTCAATATGCATATCAGGATGCATTTCTTGAGGAATTTATTTTTACCACGAATAATATTTGAGCAGACAAAGAAAGCGAAGGTTGAAGAAGGTGGTTTTGATGCTGAATTCATCTTACACACTTCAAAACTCGATGAGTTTTCTCCAACCAGGGGAGAATGATGGAGGGCAAATTATCCTTATTTTTTTTTTTATTAAATTTCAAAGGATGTAAACTATAGTTTTAGTTTAGGGTTTATTTCTAGGATTTTTAGTTTTTTAAAAATTCTAGGTTTTTATATTTTATTTATTTATTTTTGGGCTGGCAATGGACCCAGATCCGACTTTGGACCTGCCAGGTAAACTCGACATGGGTCCTGTTATGGGTCCAAACCCTGGACCCGCATGTAGGTTCCGGGTTCTTCATTATGGACCCGAAGATTCTTGGTTATGGGTTCAGGTTCTAGTGGACCCGCCCCATGCCCCGACCCGAGACCCGAAGGTTTTTCACGCCTTATACTTTCTCACTCTACCCTTCATTTATAGCAAATCCACGCACATTACCTCATGATGCATAAGCCCCACCTTCATGTTGCTCTGCAAACTGATTCAAGGAGGCCATTAGAGGAGCTCACTGAACCTTCAGAGGTACCCACAAATCCCTCTCTGCTCTCTCTCTCTCTCTAACCCATCTGAAAATTCCCCTTCTTTTCTCTCCAAAGACCCCATTCCCATGAAGCAGTTTTGCTAAAGAAAATGACGGCCACAAGGAAAAGACTGATGGAAACCAATAGAGGCTCGAAAAACTTCAAAATGGTGAGGAATCTGGGTGCCACAAGAACCAGAGACAACAGAGAGATAGGCTGGCTGTATCTTTATCTCTAACATGTCTTTTCTTGGAAATGAGTTGCTTTTTCACATGCCACTTTTTACTTTTCCTTGGACCTCGAGCATGCCAGGTGCGAGAAATCTAGAGAGAGAGAGAGAGAGTGAGAGAGTTTTTTAATTTTCAGGATGGGCAGCCAGTGCGGGGGTGGGATTAATCCCACATAGAAGAGGCATATAGACTCACGGGGGTGTAAGAGCTATAAAAGGGATTGAGGAGTTTAAGATCAAATACATAAGAGAAGCCTGTCGGGTCCGGGTCCGGGTCCCGGGTCCGGGTGCCGGGTCCCGGGTCTTGAGTATCCTCTTGGGTACGGGTACGGGGTACTATATTTTTGGACCTGTCGGGTACCGGTCTACAAATGATAATTCGGGTCAAGGTACGGGTCCAGCAGGACCCGACCCATTATCACCCCTATTTATTTTATGAGTACTATTCTCGAGTACTGTTCACGGGTATTGTTTATAGGGGTAAAACTGGCATTATGAATTTTAAGTTAAGCTAGTGTATAGGGGTCAATTTATTATTTGTTTGGACACTATTTGTACTTGAAACATTAAATTATAATATACAATATGTGTGGGGCCTTGAGGAGGTTAATTCCACATGATTTTAAGAAAGTGAAAGAGAGAAAAACTTAGGCTTTTAGAACCCTAGCTTGAGATATGGAGAAGAAACCCTAGGTTCCTTTGAATTATGTTTGTGTTTAGCTTTGTTTCTTGCTGATTTTACAGTTCCCTTAAATTTTCGTGCATGAGAGAGAGAGAGAGAGAGAGAGAGAGAGAGAAGCCTCATGTCCAACACTTGGAGGCTATCTTCTTGTGCTTCTTATATATGTAGAGAGCACATGGGCCCACGAGTGAGAAAGAGAGAAGGGCCTTAAATAGGCCTCAACTTTTACATTTTAAGGTGGCCCACCCTTTTTCTTAAGAAGGGGTGGCACTAGGCGGGCGCCTTGGGCTCCTAGGCGTCTGCCTTGAGCCCGCCTAGGTGGGCGCCTGGGAACATGTCTGCCTAGGGCACCCGCTAGGTCGAGTACCAAATATGTCGTATTTCTGTTGTTATTTTTTTTTGTCATGTTCAGCTATAATTGACTAATTGCTTTCCACATAGAGATGTTACCCTCTTGTTCTCTATAGGCACAGTTTTATTATCACTATATTGTTATTTATCTCTTGGGATTATAGTACTAAGATGCATTTTGTTTTAACTTATCTTTGATCTTTTTCATCATTTTTCAGATAAACCCAAATTACCAACTAATTTTGAGGAGGATACATGGGCAAAACTGAAGTCTGCTATCAGCGCTATACTTTTGAAGCAACCGGTGTCTTGCAGCCTTGAAGAGCTATATCAGGTGTTTTTACTTTTTTTTTGGTATGTATTGTTCTATGATATTCTACTATGTGGACCAATATTGGATTACGGTGTGTACTTTATTATGTCTGTAGGCTGTTAATGATCTTTGTCTTCACAAGATGGGAGGAAACCTGTATAAGCGAATCCAAAAGGAATGTGAGGAGCACATATCAAAAACTATTCAATCTTTGGTTGGTCAGAGTCCAGATTTGGTTGTCTTTCTGTCACTTGTTGAGAAATGTTGGCAGGATCTTTGTGACCAGTTGTTGATGATTCGTGGTATAGCCTTATATCTCGACAGAACATATGTCATACAAACCTCCAATGTACGCTCATTATGGGACATGGGGTTGCAACTATTTCGGAAGCATCTTTCCTTATGTCCAGAAGTAGAGCACAAAACAGTTACTGGTCTTCTAAGATTGATAGAAAGGGAAAGGTACTCTGCAAATCTTTTATTATTGATTACAGATTGCGTATTTTGTGGATTATGTTTGGATGGTGTTCTAAAACCTTGACCGGGAGGTCGGATTCGTCATCGACTGGACCTTTTGGATCACCAACCTTGGCCGTATTGGACCGATTGTGCGGTGTGAGAATTGGTCCAAAAAAATTAAATAATAATTTTAAATTTGAGATTAAGTAAAAAAATATTGAAAAATAATAAAATATAAAATGGGTGGAAACCTGTCAATTTGGATCTGATTGGATGGTTATCTTTTAGACTTTCCTTGCTATTAGACAAAACTAGGTGATTATGTCAGAATTAGACTGATTCTCAGTTCTGACTAGGAACCGTGTTGGTTCCCCCAAGTGCTTTAAAAAGTGAATTGGTGGGGTGAATCTATCCCAATTCAGATTGCCTAGATGGAAGATCTAGCCCGTCTGGATTGGCTATTCCGATTACCAAGATTGGCAATGCATAAAATTCTAAAAAAAGAAAAACAAAATAATAAAGGTATGTAGAGTACAATGCGTGAAAGTTATATCGCATAGCTTAAATAGCTTACATGGTTAGTAGATGGTACTGCTCGAATTTGTTGCTAATAGAAGGTCCACGGTTCCAATCTCGCATGTCACAAGTTTTTTTGAAGTTAAAAAAAAAATTCAAAAAATTTGATGTGAAGAAAATGGAAGACGGTTCGTGAGGACTCAAACCATGAGCCTCAAAGCCCAATAAGCACGACCTCTAACCACCAAAGCCATAGGCACTCTCTTCTAATAGAATGTACGGAAATATATTATCTATTGACAAAATGCAGATGCCGACCAAGAATCAGTTCATTCCCTCCAGATCAGTGATATCCGATCCAGATCAATGATTTTTTATACATTGGTCCCCATCAGTTATTTTTAAGGAACTGTTTTTGGATAAGTACTTACTGGATTAGTTGTTTTGGGTCTTGTGACTTAAAATCCATGGTTGGGCTCATACTATGCTTTTGCTTCTTAAAGGGTGTTATCTTTTATGGGGACTATTGTGGCAACTTACCTGCATGGACAATGGTAATACTTGGTTATTTGTAAAATGCATTGAGCTAGAGTTTCATCAGAAATCAATACTCGTCCATCTGAAGGCTGCTTTTTGTATTAATAGCATTAGTTGAGAAAGTAAAACTATTATGTGTTTCCACTAGAAGGATGAGTTCTTCTTTGTGTTGTGCTGTTTGTCGGATGAATTCTGTGCAACTTACGGTAGAGAATGAATGGCACATGTATCATTATCACCATCAACTATGAACTTAAAGAAAGCTTGCTTCTAAACATATAGTATACTAAATTAGTTTCTAGAGGTATCATGCTGTTTTAATACAAACTTCATATAGATTTCATAAGTCCATTACTAAGCTGTTCTTGTTCTGTCATTCTTCTGCTATTGTGTGCTGCCTTCTGATTGTGTCATTCTGAATTCGTATTTCATAAGTCTATCACTAAGCTGTTCTTGTTCTGTCATTTTTTTGCTATTGTGTGCTGCCTTTTGATTGTCATTCTGAATTCGTTGTGTTTAATGTGACCTCAGTTTTAACTGCATGTTTTGTGATTAGTAACGCTAGGAATTGCTAAAAGAAAATTATTGTTATTTTATTGGAAAATAATGTTTGTGTATACAATATACGATGATATGTTATCAGAAACGAACTGGTGCTTGACCTGGCAAAGGGATTGGTTTGGTCAAAACCGGTCCGGTCGGGGTTCAGACCGGTCGGAACATTTTTTAAAATATACATAATTACAACATTGATTAAAAACTAAAGAGTTCAATAAAATAAAGGAAAAATAATTATTATTGTGAATATAATGCCCATATTTATCCAACCAATGACATCACTATTCATCAAATTATTATTATCCATGCTTCAAATCATATAATGAAGTAAAAGATACTTGACTTTTTCCAATCCATGAAGAAGGTACAAATCACACAGATAAAAAGAAAGAGGAAAGGCAATGTACAAACACATGTCCATGTGCAGGATGAGAGAGGGGTAGAGAAAGAGCACGTGGTTCAATGGGATAAGGAAAATAAGTGTATTAAAATAGAAAAATACAAGAAAAGGCAATAAATTTAATTAATTTGGATTTTATTTGAAAAATTTGGAAGAAATATGAGTTTCCTTTTTAATCATGAGCAATTTTTGGCAATAAAAAGATATTGGCAATTTTTAATTGCCAATGCAATAAAAAATATATATATAGAAAGGAAAAAATCCAGCAAAAAATAGCAAGAAATTTTCAAATGGTTAGAATCTGGTGATCAAGAGAACCGGCAAAACCGGCCGATCCAACCGGTTTGATTGGTAAAATGCCAGTTTTGACCGCTTCTTTCTCATTCTTGGTTTTGTTCTCTTTGTTGGACGGGCCAAGGTCCGCTTGCCGGTTTTATTCTGTATATATATATATATATATATTATATGTGTGTGTATATATATGGAAAAAGCTACTGTCAGCCCACCAGCTGATGGAATAGTGTAAGCCTAATGGCCCAGTTTGAATCTGGGCCGATCAGTGATCACGATTGCATTTTGTATTTGATTTCTAATTTTTTTATACAAATCCAAATCACTTGAAATTTGGAGCGTCTATTTTTTACAAATATTAGAATTTAATAAAAAATAATTCAAAAAATAAATTAACCAAAATAGCAGCCCTGGAAAGCTTTAGGGGTATCCCCTAGAAGGCTTCAGGGGTATTTTAGTCAATTTATTTTTTTTGCGAATTATTATTTTTAATACTTTTATTGCATACACCTTGATGAGAAGAGTGGATGCCCCAAATTTCATGTTAGTTGGATATATGTAAAGAAATATTAAAATTATATTACGAAATTCGTGACCATCAGATCGGCCCAGATTGTTGGGCTTACACTATTCCATCAGCTGATAGGCTGACCTTAGCTTTTTTCATATATATATATATATATATATATATATATATATATAGAGTAGAGAGAGAGAGAGAGAGAGAGAGAGAGAGAGAGAGAGAGAGAAGTAAGTTAAGTTAAGTAAGTAACTAACTAACTAACGTAAGAAGTAGTAAGTAACTAACTACTACTCTCGTACTACTTATTATTA